TTCTAAGTCAGGCAACTTTTCTTCTCTTTGAATTTATTGTTTTAAAAAATCATGATCAGGTGTTGAGTTGTATTGAATGGCTTAACTGCGTTGTTTGAGATAATCATAAATCTCCTTTCTTTTTCTTGTTCTGCCCTCCCTTGGGGTCTTGGTTCCATCCTGGTAGTAGCACATCAAGGTCAAGGACATGGAGACTCTTCTTTCTCGCTCCAGCCTAGAAGAGCAGGAATGGAGCCTTACAGTCCTCATGGGTAAATTTGGGGCTTCTGGGAATCTTCCATGTGCAGCATCACAAGATGTCCATGAAGGCATCATTTTGATGTATTATTTTACTTATAAAACATCTGCTTTTTAAAAAAATCCTGATTTACTCAAGACCTCCTTTTTTTTAGAGTAGGGAGAGGAAGTAGTAAAGAGCGTGTCGAGGAGAGAAACCCCATTCGGACACCCGTATGTAATTTGCAGCAGTCCTATGAAGCAGGTAGTGGTGTTCTTGGCTTACAGGTAAGGAAACTGAAGCCCAGGATCTGCCCATCAACGAGCTGCATCCCCTATCCCCAGCCACCTTCTCCTGTTTGCCCCAGTTGTAGGAGCTACTTCTTCAGGGAAATCAGCTGATTTGTCTGGAGGACCAGGGCTCCAGGAGGCTGGAGGTGTTGGCTTTGGCCAAGAATCTACTGGTAGCCCTGGGTGAGGGCTGGTTGACTCCGCTGCCTGCACTAACCACCCTAAACCTGCTGGAGACCTGCATGGCGCTGAGCCCAGCCTGGGACTCCCAGGGCCCAGAGCATCCACACAACTTGAGCCTCCAGCTCCTTCCTGGCCCTTGAGGGGGTAGTATTGTCCTTGCCCGTGAGCTTGACCACCTGGGAGCTTCATGCTCCCTCAGGCAGGAAGCCTCGAAGCTGACTGCTGATGTCTTTCCAGTCTTGCAGACCTTGACTCTAAATGGTTTGGGGCTGCAGCTGGGGATGTGGAATGTCACCAAGATCTTCCCTGCCCTTTGTCAACTCTCCCTGCTTGGTGATAGCTTGCAGGCGCTCTGCTCCCAGGACACCTCCCACTTCTCCCTCTGGCAGCTCCCCAGGCTCCAGTATCTGAGGGTAAGAGGAGACGAACACAGTCCCAGGACCCGCCGCATCTCGGGGCTGCCCAGCCTCTGGGAGCTGAAGCTGCAGGCACTGCTGTCCCACACCCGGCCCCTCCGGTGCAGCTTGAGGAGCTGACGGGTGAGCTGCCCAGCCTCCAGGTTCTGCATCTGGTCATAACAGGGGTTGGAGACACTGTCAACTGCTGTTTTCCAGGGCCAGGGAAGTCTCCAGGTCTTAGTACTAGACTGGGAGACAGGCCTCATGCTAGATGGTAGCCTCCAGGAGCAAAGTCCCCAGATGCCCCAGTACGTGTATAGTCTGAGTGTGTCCTGGGCCTGCCAGTGTGCCAGTGCTGGGTCGGGCCCTGGCTTGAGCGGCACCCCCAAACATAAATGCACATAGTATCACACCAGCTGTGCCAGTCAGAAACTGGGGACTACTCCAAGAATCCCCTTTCTTCTTTTCTCTGGAGCCACTGCCCCCAGATTTTGGACTTGGAATTCTTTTTGGGCAGCCTTTCCCTGCTGCTTCTGCTGATCTCCTTGGCCTTTCCACAGGAAGCCAGGAACTCCTGGATCCTCCATCTCTACGCCTTGTTCAGGGCTTGGCTTCAGGGTCTGAGGAGTCGGAGGGATGAGAGCAGAAGTTTCCTTTATGATATGTTTGTGTCCCACTGCAGACAAGACCAAGCCTGGGTGATCTGGGAGCTGCTGCCTACTCTGGAGGGCTGCCCTCCAGCAGGCTAGGGGTTGTGCCTCTGCCTCCCTGAGCGAGATTTTGAGCCAGGCAAGGATGTGGCTGACAGTGTGGCAGAGAGCATGGCAAATAGCCATATCACGCTGTGCATGCTGATTCATTGGGACCTGCACACCACATTCTGCTGCCTGGCCACCTCCCTTCTGCTGGCTGCTCCCTGCCTCTCAGTGCTACTGCTGGTCTTCGTGGAGCCTGTCTCCTACCACCAGCTCCCTCACTGCCATAGTCACTGCCTGGCTACTACTCATGTGGCCCAAAGACGGTGAAAGAAAGGGCAAGTTCTGGGCTTGGCTGGGGAGTAGGTTGGAGCAGCGTGGGTTGGGCTAGAGTGGGTGATGTGTGTTGGAGGGTGGGGAGAGGGAAAGCAGGCCAGCCTAACAGGCAGATAGGGGTACATGTGAGTGCGTGAGGCTGACTTCAGCTTCCAGTAGGAGGTCAGGGTGCTGCGTGTGCAGGGAGGATCAGTGGGTGGCTTTAGGGACACAGGCTTTGGGAACACAGGCTTTGGGAAGGCTCTGGAGGCTGAATGAGAAAATTTGGGAGTTGGCAGTTGGCAGTGTCGTATGTGATGTGATCTTAAGATCTCCAAATCCCCAGTAAACTCACTAAATCCATGAAATTCTTGGCTTAATCGGACCTTTTGTTTTTGATGGAACCCCACATGAGGCAGAGGGCAAAGCGGCTGGGGTCATGAAAACTGTACCCCAGAGGAAATAAAGTTGGGAACTGATGGAGAATATGGGGATGGAAGGAGGGCTCTGAGCACTTCCAAGTTAGGGAAAGGGGTCCAGGCCAAGTTCAACCAGATCTTTGAGGGGCAAAGGGGCCGCCTTTGCCATCTGAGTTATAGAGGAATTGGCAGCTGAGGACCAAAAACTGGGAAGCTGCCCAGGAGGCAGCAGATTGATTGCCTGTTCCCTCAAGAAGAACATGAAGGCATGATCATTTCTGTCATCTTGTTTGAGCCTCATAGCAACATTGGGGTGGGGGAAACCACCGCCTTGACACTCTGTGCTCCAGCCACGTTGAACCACTCGTAGCTCCCAGAACGCCATGTTCTCTTACCTCTTGGTCTTTTCATGTGCTGCTCCTTCACCTAAGAACACCCTTTCCCCTCAATCTCTTTCTCTGGGGGAACTACTACATATCCTTTAAGATTCAGCTCAGCCATCACCAGAAGCCATCCTGACCCCCCTGACCTCTGGGTAAGCTGCTGCCCCTGGGTTCCCACGATTTCCTGCACTTCCCTTTCTCAAAGTACTGGTCACACTATACTGGCCCTCACAGATCTGGGAGGCTCTCGAGCAGTGGGCTTCAAAGAAGGGTGCACAATATGAGCCACTGGAGTTTAGGAAGAAAGTGTTATAACTTCTATTTCTATTTTGTTTTTAAGCTCAGTTTATTCTGGAGCTAGACTGCCTGCTTTTTAGCCATATGGCTTTAGTAATATGGGATAGTATTAGATCTTCCCTCAATGGGTTTTGAGAGGCTAAATGTCCTTAATATGTACAAAGCACTGAGAGCAGGACCTAACAGTACATTATAAATGTTTGATAAAAGAAAGCTTTTCACGTATATATACAATATGTATATCATTTATAAGTAAATAAATATACATATGTTGAGAGTGTGCTCAAAAATGTTTTACTAGTAGGAAACATTGCTAATTTACTAATAGGAAACTCGATTGGGAAAGTTCAGAGATCAGGTTCTGGGGATAGGGACCAAGTTTCATTCATCTCTGCATCCTTAGAGCCTGATGCTGGCCCAGTGTAGAGGTTTTGATAGACAACTGTGGACAGAAAGAAATGTTGGTGGATGCTGGAGCAGAGAACTGGGATCTAGTTCAGGCTCTGTTGCTTATTTCTCTATGACACTAGGTGGGGCACTTGGCTTCTTAGGGCCTGAGTTTTCCTCTTTTGTAAAATGCCAGGCATTAATTAGACAAAGGATAAGGGAAACCATGGAACAATTCCAAGCTGGATTTAGGTGAGGGGCGCCCTCTTGTGTCCTAATGGTGTCATACTCTCCCTGCGCATCCTCATCTCCATTCCTCCTCTTCAGGGCAGAGGATCCTGAAGAGGACATCCTTACCTGACCCTGTAAAGCTGCCTTTCCCGCTTCAGAGCCTGACACTCAGAATCCTAGATGTTTTCGGCCTCCCAGCACCTCACACTGCCACATTGTCTCTCTCCCGGCTCAACACCCTCTCTATCCGTGATCCTTTTCTTATGCAGTGTGGGGCTGAGAAGAAACATTTGGAGTCACATGACCTGCAGTTCAAATCCCAGCCCTGGCACATATCAGCTATGTGATCTTGAGTAGGTCGCATCATCCATCTAAGCCCTCATTTCCTCCTTTAAAATTAGGGGTAATAATACCCACCTCATAGGTTTGTTGTGAGACTTCACTAACAAGGAGTGCTTGTAGGTTGCTCTTACAGTCACCAAGGAAAATCCCACAGTTATTACTACAAATGAGTTGGAACATATTTTGCAAAGGAGAAGCATTTTGAACTGGGTCTTTAAAATCAAAATACAGAATTCCCCTAACTTTTTAAAAACTTTTTTTGGTTTTTTTTTAAGGGGGGGATAATTAGGTTTACTTATTTTTAATGGAGGTACTAGGGATTCAATCCAGGACCTCATGCATGTTAAACACACTACCATTGAGCTATACCCATCTCCCAGAATTCTCCTAATTTTAACAATAGCTAACATGTATTGAGCATTTGCCATATGCCAGATGCTGTCAATTTTCCCGAAGTCTCATAACCATTCATAAAAATAATAATAGCTAATGCTTATTAAACTCCTTCCGCCAGACACATGCCAAGCTCTTTACATATTTTCCCCCACTTATTCCTCTCACAAACCCTATCATGTAGATGCCATTATTATAATTCCCATTTTACAAATAAGAAAACTGAGGCATAAAGAGGTTAAGTAATTTGCCCAAGGTTTCACAACTAGTGAGTGGCAAGGCCTACATCCTGCATTTGAAAGTAAGAAGTTTCAGACACAGCAGCTTGACTTCAGGGACCCTGCTTTACCTGCATTTTCTTATCTAATTTTCACAATACCCTGTAATGTAGGTTCTGTTATATCACTTGCATTTTACAGATGAAAAAACTGAAGACAAAAGAGAAGCAGTGTGCTCGGTTCAGCAGCACATACACAAAAAAACTGGAATGATACAGAGAAGATTAGTATGGCCCTCGTTCAAGGATGACACGCAAATTCGTGAAACTTTCCAAATTTTCTGGAAAAAAAAAAAGAGAAGTAGTAATTCATTCAAGGCCACACAGCTATGAAATCGTTGGGCTGGGATTTGGATCCATGCCTGACTACAAAACCCACATTCTCAACCCCATATTAGATTGGTCATACCCCAAAGTATTCACAACGGAACAAAGCAACTGCATTTATATTAAAATTATTCTGGATTATTATTCTAATACTGATTAACATTCTTTCAACACCCACTTAGTGCCAAACTCTGTGCTAATTTACATAAAAATAGCTAATATTTACTGTGTACTATTAGGACCCAGGTCCTGAGCTGATCGTTTTGGGTGTATTATCTTAGTGAAGTCTCACAAAAACCCAGCGACACGGATGCCATTATAGCCTCATTTCACAGGGGAAGAAAGGGAGTTTCACAATTGATCCAAAGTCACGCAGCGTAACTGAACTGGAAATTGAAACTACAGTTTTCCAATACTCTCCCGCCCACCAGTCTGGTCACCTTCAGTCACCCTCTCTCCTAAAATCTTTCTGTTTCCGCTTTCACCTCTCCTGGCCTTGGGCTCTCACATCCCCTCTTGAATACACCCCGCCCCTTCGGCTTGAATGCCCCCCTGGGCGGTGCGGTTATCTCAGAGCCTGGGGAAAGGACCAGGATCGCAACAGGCCCCGCCCTCACGCTTAGACCCTGTTTCGATTTGTTCCCGGACGAGGACCCGGAGAAGATGACGCGTCGATTGGCTGGCGACATCTGGAAGGCCTCTAGCGGAGGGGGCCGCCCAACGGCGCTCTCGCGGTTCCTTCTGGGAGGTGTAGTCTCAGACGCGCCATTCCCGCGGTGGCGCCGTTCGGACTCCGCGTCCCAGCATTCCCCGCGCGCGCTCTGGAGCACTTCCGCCCTGTTGTGAAGTGGGTGTCTCGGTGGGTGAGTCCGGGTGGCGGGGCGGGGGCAGCTGAGACTCAGGCTCTGGGCTGGAGACTTAGGAGGTGGTGGTGTCACAGGGAGCCGGGGAAGGTGAGAGGGGGAAAAAGAAGCTCTTATGTGGGGCGGGGGTGGTGAGGGGCGGTGAGAGGATGAAGCCTCCGGAGATGGAAAGGGTCACAGAAGGGTCGGGGATGAGAAGGGAGATAGAAGGCCCTAGGAGGGAGGAGGGTCTTAGAAAGGTCCTTAGGTGAGGGGACCGAGAGAGGTTCTGAAGGTGGAAGGGTCTGGAGAACTCATCGGGAAGGATTAGAGGGTTCTGGGGCCCTGGCAAGAAGTGAAGATAAGAGGGCCTGAGCTTGAAGCCTGACGTTAAAAATAGTGTTCCAATCTCTACCTGCTCGTCTAAAAAGACCGTATCTAATTTGATACCCCCTTACACTTTAATGATTGTGACCTCTGGAACCCCGTGGGTGGGACTGGCTGTTGTGTTCCGCCCCAAACCTGCACCTCTTCCCTTCTGCCTAATGGAAGTGAACGGTTCCAACATCCACTTAACCCAGGCGTGCTCTGAATCCTCTTGCATTCTTCCACATCCAGGTATCTTCACATCTTTTAATTTCCTTAATGTATCTTGAGACATTTCCTTGTCAAGGTTTTTGCTGAAGCCTATACCTTTTCACCTCCCCAGCCTGGACAAACACATTGTAGCCCCTGTGATCTATTTAACCCACAAATGAGATGAGGCTTTCTACTTTAAAAACTTCATTAACTCCCATCACCTATCGAATTAAGTGCAAACACCTTAGCCTGACATTCAAGACCCATCATGAACTCCCTTTACAGCCTGATCTTCCTGCTGTCAAGGTTACTCCCACACCTTGGGGAGGCTGTTTGGTTTTTTCACTATTACACCTGCTGTTCTCTCTGCTTAGAGTACACTTGCCTCCCCGTTCTTTGCCAAGAGAACCATTCTTTCTTCGAGAACCAACTCAAATGTTAACTTTGTTCATTTAAGTCACCCCCTACCCCAGCTCCCAGAGGCCTCTTTTATTGCATTTGCCACATTCGATCATAATTATCTGTGACCTTTTTTTTTTTTTCTGTCCTTCCATTATACTGGGAGATCTCCAGGACAGGAACAGTTTCTGAGTCACCTCTATTTCCCAGTTGCCCAGCCCAGAGTAATAAGTACTTGATGTAAAACAAGTAACTCATTAAATACTTGATGAATGTGTGAATAAAGACCATCCCTGTTGAGTTTTGCTTTACCAGGCTTGAAGACTGCTATTTCCAGTGGATTTCCAGGGGGGATGAGCTTGTTAGTCTTCTGCCTGTCAGGGCTTCAGTGATTGAGTACCTCTGGGAGGGTAAGCCAGGGGTGACAAATACACAGAATATGTGCTGGTACTCCCCCTCCTGTGTCTGGCAGTCACATCTTATTGGTCCCAGCACGTGTTCCCATGGGATTCAGAGTCCTTAACCCAGCTGACTGAAGTTGGTGCTTTAAATGAAACCCATTTGCTCTCCCTGGTTTAAGCACTTAAGTATAAGATCAGGCTGCTGTAAGCAGTAGCCTGGACTATCAGCCAAGTTAGCCTGATAGCTGTCGAGAACTCCCAGTTTCTTTTTCTTTGGAGGTCACAGACTAGTCTTGGCCTTTCCAGTGGGACTGGGGCAGATCTCCTCCATCCCACTGTTCACTGGGCTCCCATTCCTCATGTCCACATCCATATTCACTACTGTAGGAGCCAGGATGCCCCTCAGCTTCCCTGTATTTATAAAGGGATCCTAGTTTTGATGGCAGACCCCTCATTGCTGAGGGGAATGTGTCCTTTCTAGGCCTTCCTGGATACTGGAAGAGACTTTTGAGATCATTTAGCTGAAAGGTTCCAAAATGACAGCTCTTGCTGAATGAAGCCTACCATCATGCACTATTTATTTACTTAATTTTTAAAACTTTTATATATTTGTTTTTAATTGAAGTATTGTTGATTTATAGTGTTGCATCAGTTTCAGGTGTACAGCAGGGTGATTCAGTTATACATATATATACTTTTTCAAATTCCCTTCTGTTACATGTTATTACAAGATATTGAATATAATTTCTTGTGCTATACCGTAAGTCCTTGTTTATCTATTTTATATATAGTAGTGTGTATATGTTAATCCCAAACTCCTAATTTATCCCTCCCCCCAACCCCTTTTCCCTTTGGTAACCATAAGTTTGTTTTCTATTTCTGAGAGTCTGTATCTGTTTCATAAATAAGTTCATTTGTGTCATATTTTAGATTTCACGTATAAGTGCTATCATATGATATTTGTCTGACTCTTTCTGACTTACTTCACTAAGTCCATCCATGTTGCTGCAAATGGCATTATTTCATTCTCTTTTATGGCTGTGTGTGTGTGTATTCCACATCTTTCTCCAGTCATCTGTCGATGGATGTTTAGGTGCTTCCATGTCTCGGCTATTGTAAATAGTGCTGCTGTGAACACTGAGGCATCACACTTTATTTAATCCTCATGGTGTTTGAAACAATTTTGAGTTGGTTGCCATCATTTAGAAATCCAGAGTTCTAGCTTCTCCTGGGAAAGTTGGAAGGCCTGGGAACAACAGATCAGTGTGTGTCCTGGTGCTCTGTAGTTAACCTCAGTCTCCACATCACTCATTTACTCATTTACATTGCCTGGCGCTCATAGCTATTTAAATTCCAAGCCACTGATTCTTGCCTCCCTATTTGCTCTACTCCCACGTTACTAATGGGGGCACCTGGGGCAACTGCTGAGTAGGGTCAGGCAGCTGCCAAGGCCAGATGACCTGTCCAAAGTCACACAGCTGGTAAATGGCGGGAGTGGAACTGGAACCCTGAACTGCTCATTCCTGCCTTCCTGTTCTTTCCACTTTCCATACCATCTTCTCAGGAGTTCGGGTAACTGGAGACCTAGAGGAGGCTCTATGGGATGGTTAAGAAAAATGACAGGAGAAAACAAATCTGGGCTTAGATCCCAGCTCTACACTTGCTGGTTGCAGAACCTCGCATGAACCTTATTCACAGAAGCTCAGTTCCCTATATGTAAATTGGGGATGTAGTGAAGTCATACCTACAGGATAATTATATTCTATAGTCAACACAGAAGGTGAAAATCACTTTTAGCCAAAAATCACAGCTTGAAAATCCTTGGCAAAGAGCCATTTAAAAACCAATATGCTGTCTTTCAATAAGCTGATAGCACAGCCAGATTTTCTTGGTTCAATGAGAGACAGAAGAGTTGGCTTGTGTTTAGGGACCGTGAAAGACACTCTGCTCTCACTCAGTGGACACTAAGAGCAGCTTGGGGGAGCTCGACCGGTCTGGGCACCAGCAGAGTCATGGGTGTCATCACCACATGCTCTGGAACGACATAGAGTGAATGGGAATGACTGCACTCTTTACATTATGTCTTTTCCTCTTTTTGGGGTCTGTATATAGTGTGATGCGTGTAAGTTACAGATCAGGGTAAGGCAACTCAACACCAAGCGCTCTTCAGTTGCTTGCCTGGAGGATTCTGAGATTGTGAATGTAGCCAGGCACCCCAGGGGCACTCAGTAAATGGATACTCTTTGAGATTGCTGATCCTAGTGGGCCCCCGATATTTCTGGTAGTCTCAGGACTGAGGCGTGCCCTTGTACATTTTCCCTTTGTCAGCTCTGTGTGAAGTCTGCTGACTATGTTGACCTCCCTCTGTGGATAGACTGCTGTTCATATCTGTCTAAGAGAGGAGGAGAGACATCTTTCAGATTGTATTTGAAACTAACCTGTGGGACTTTCAAATCTTCCCAGAAGGAAATACCTAATATTTGAGACCCTGGACTTTGTGCCCAGTGGGACTGTTAATTGCCTGTTTTTGTGTCTGTTCTCTGCGCAGGAGCATACACCTCTTTGCTTGCTTTATTGACTGTCTCTCTGTTTAGATGGTAACTTTGATAACAGTGGAGACTGTCTGTCCTAGTTACTGTTGGCACTCTAGCTCCTGGTACAGTTCAGGGTCCATAGTGGGACTCTGCAAATGACCAGTGAATTTGTCTTCATATGAGACAGTGATGCAGGTATGTTTGGGCTAGTGCATCATTAAGGGTGTGGTTAAAAGAGAAATTAAATTTCACCAAAGTTTCATTCTTTAGCTCAGTATAAATTATGGATCTTCCATAGCCCATTAGGCTTTGATGTACCTGATTTACTGTTTTAGTAAAAGGCAAAACTCCCAATGGCCCTGCTATTTCTTAGACATGGGGTTGGGCACTGTGGATACAGAAATGGGTCAGATGCAGTACTGGCCCTAGCAGTACAACCTAACAGGGCTGTCAGATGTAAGAACAGGTAACCATAGTAGTGTAGGATATCACCTACGTTAGAGGTATGTGCCAAGTGCTTTGGGAACGCAGGGTCAGGGGAAGTGATTCTTGAAGAGCAGGGGTGAGGGGCTGGGCATGACAAGGTCAGGTCAGGAAACTCTTAGCAGATGAGGTGACATTGAGCTGGTAGCCGAAGGATGAGCAGGAAGTTGCCAGGTGGCCATGAGTTGTGTCCTAGCCTCTCCCTGTGTGTGTGTGGAGGTCTTTAAGACAGGCCTTCATTTTTCATCACCCTCGTCTTGTTTCCAGACAGCCAAGTCACATGGCCTAAAATCAAAATTCCACCCTCCCTCCATTCTTAATTCAGCTGTGTCCTTCCCACTTGGAAGCAGCTAATAGCCTCCTTTGAGTGGGCATTTTTAATGGTATCTGTATTTGTTACGAGTGACACAAAGAACCCATTTTTCCAGAGAACCCAGCACGAATGTTGTCAGAGTCTTCATTGTGTGAAAGAAGCAATCCTCGGCATTCACTCAAGAAGCATTTATTGAGAGCCTCCTGTGTTTAGTGCACTGTGCTTACTGTGGGCTGGGGGAGGGGAGGGGTGTGGAAAAAGAAGTGAGGAATGAGCTATATTCTTTGCCCTCAGTGAGGCTGTCATCTCTCCGGGGACACACGTGTCCACACACCCCTCTAGGACAGCGTGGAAAGTGGCAAGTGTCACAGAGATGGAAATAAAGAGGAGAAAAGAATTCCTTCTGACTTAAGCAAGAAGATAATTTATTTTTTTAAATCTAGAAAGGGATTAATTATAGTTTTTGCTTCATGATCCATCACCATCATCCGTTGACATTATTCCATTATTTCACTGTCCATCAAGTGCTTCCTCTGTGTGCTGAGCCCTGTGCTAGGTCCTTAGGAAGCTTGTGATCTAGTGAGTGAGTTAATTACCATAAAGTGTCATTAGGGTAATGGTAGAGAAAATCTAAGGTGGTATGGAAGCCTGTGGCTGAGGACTGAATTGTTTCAGGGCACTGAAAGGGCCACTTGGAAGAAGTACACTTTCAGCTGATGCTATGGGATGAAAGGGAGGAGACTGTTCCCAAAGGAGATGGTAACGTGAGAGAGGGTTTGGAGGGCAGCCCGACGCTGGAGCTGCGAGCTGTGCCTGAAACACCCTGACGGGTGGGAGCGTGGTCATGAGATGAGATGGAGACTTGGGCAAGGCTTGCCCTTTATCCTGAGGCAATGGGAGGTCCCTGAAGGTTATTAGCCGAGAAGCGACCTGGTCAGATTTTGATCTAGTCAGGTTGTGTGAAGAATGGACCAGGTGATGGGATGAGAGGAGTGAAGGCAGGGACATGAGTTAGGAGGCTGATGAAGTGAAAAGCATGATGATTCCTTGGACAAGGTGGTGGCACTCGGGGGTATAGGTGCTTAGAAGGCCAAGTAGACCCAGCTTGGTGATGAGTAGATGTGGGGGATCTTAGAGAAAAATGATGCCCCAGTTTCTGGCCTGGGTAACTTGATGGGGGGTGGTGCGTTTGTTGGGTGAAGAATTCCAGAAGAGGGACAGGTTTGCAGGAGAAAATGACGAATTCGGTTTTGACGCATTGAGTTGGAGATACCTAAGAAAGAGTCAAATGGAAGTGTGTTGTTGGACTTTGGGGGTCTGGAGACAGGTCCTGGCTAGAGTTTTGGGAGTCATCAGTTTAGAGATGGTCAAAAATGGTAGATGAGTGGGATGACCAAAGGGGAGTGTAGAGTGAGAGGGATTTTGCAGAGAGAGCACCCTTAGAAGAAAGCTTAAGGCCCAGGAAGAAAGGCTTTATGGAGAGGGTGACATTTGGAACACAGCTTGAGGGAAGGTCAGACTTGGGACACATGTAGAGGCTTTACTGGGACCAGATCATGGAAGCCTTGATACCCAGCTAAGGCATTTAGGGCATCCTGCAGGATTCAGTGCTGTGCTGTTTTCCTCCGAGGTGTACTGGCTGCTGGTTTTGGTGGCAGATTGTAGGCTAACTTCCTGCTTATGGAAAAGGGCCTCTCTTAGCACCCCCGCCCCCTGTGCAAAGCAGTGGAAGGTGTGGGGAGAGTGAGGCTCCTGGCCCTCCTGCTTACACTATGCCTTGTCTTTCTGCCTTCAGAACCTGGGGGAGCATTTCCCCTCCTAGGAGCCCCTCGAAGGACACACTCCAGATGCAGGAAGACGTTGGACCAGGACGTCCCAGCTGAAGGGAGGCGTCCGGGAGAGACCATGGCTGTATCCCTGGAATGCCAGGCCCAGGTCTCTCCCCGGCCAGAGCCTGAAGAACTCCTGATTGTGAAGCTGGAGGACGATGCGTGGAGATCAGAATCTCAGCCCCGGGAGAAGGGTCATGAGCCTGTCCCCGGCCCCGAGGCCTCCCGCCAGCGCTTCAGGCAGTTCCAGTACAGGGATGCGGCAGGACCCCATGAGGCCTTCAGCCAACTCTGGGCACTCTGCTGTCACTGGCTGAGGCCAGAGATACGCCTTAAAGAACAGATTCTGGAGCTGCTGGTGCTGGAGCAGTTCCTGACCATCTTACCCCGGGAGGTCCAGGCCTGGGTACAGGCACGCCACCCCGAGAGTGGAGAGGAGGCGGTGGCCCTGGTGGAGGATTGGCAGCGAGAGGCCCGGGCTGCAGGGCAGCGGGTGAGGCAGATGGTCTGTTCTCCAAAGAGCGGGTCCAAGGCAGTGGGGCTGTGACTAGGTTAATAATTGCCAAAGCCACCACAACAATACATAGTAATAATGGTAATTATTATTATCAAGTACCTGACGTTTGTGGAACACTGCTATGTACCAGGCACTGTTCTAAGTGCTTTCCATGTATTAACTCATTGAATCCTGTCAACAGTTTAATGAGATAGGTACCGTTACCTTAATTTTAGTGATGAGGAAACAGACAAGGAAAAGATAGGTAATTGCCTCAAGGTCACTGGCTTCTAGATGGTAGAGGCAGGATTTGGGTTCAGGCAGTCTGACTCTGAAGCCAGCATTCATAACCTCTGCTCTAAGCTGCCTCCCAGTACCGTATTCACAGTACGTTCGATTTGTATTGTGTTTTATACTTAACAGAATCTTTTTATGTATGTGGTCTCTTTGGATGCTTACAGCAATCATGTGGGTAGGCAGAAATAGCATTATTGTCCTGATTTTTAGATTAAACTGAGGCCCCCTAAGTCAGGTGGCTCACAGGTCTCAGTCAGTGTGAACCAGAGCCTAAACCCGGATTCTTAGGTTCCAAGTTCATTGTTATTTCTACTATACGACAGATGCCTCATCTGTGGACCATGGGAATTAAAATACCTCTGAGTCATGGCTCAAATGAGATATTAACTGATATTTATTGAGCACTCACTGTGTGTCAGACACTGTTCTAAGCTTTCTTTACGTATTGCTCATCTAATTACTCAGCAACCCAATAAGGTAGATGCTGTTTTCATCACCATTTTTCCAGTGGGTAAACAGACTCGGGTAAGTAACTCGTCCAAATTTATGTAAGTGGTAGAGCTGAGATAAGGAAAGTGAATGCGTTGTGGATTTAACATTCATAGTTTAAACAGTTTGCAAGAGGCCCTGAAAACCCGTGGTAATAATTTATAATTTTGCTGTGACATAGATTTTGAATCCTGCTTCGACGCTGGTATGTGTAGAACAAGTCCTTCAGGTGACTGTGGGCTGAGCCAGGCTCCCAGAACCTTTATCTTGACATCATCTTGTTGCTTCCACTTATAATATAGTCAATAATTCTTGTGGTATTATACTTAGTCACATTTCGTTGGGGGAAATCACAGGTTTGAGAACATACCCCTTGCTCGTCGCAGGGGTTTCCTCTTTGTTGTTAGAGGTAAAGCTCTATATGGATGTGAGACTAGGGGAAGAAAGATTTATGGTCTTCGGCTTTGCTTTTTGAATTCCTTTACAAACTGATTGAAGACACAGAAGACATAATATTTAAAGTTACAGAACTAAATAGGAGAGAGTATACCTTATTTTAATATACCACCCCAGCCTCCCAGATTAATTCTTTTAAAGAAATCAGCTATTTATTATAAGTGGCAGTGGAAACAAATGGACATCTTAGGACTTCAGAGCTGGAGGGTGAAGAACCTGAAACCCAGAGATAAGAACTGACTTAAATGAAGGTCTTTATAATTCTTCATGTATACAATGAGAAGTTTGGACTAAACCCAAAGTTCTCAAATTATACCCCTGTGAACTGAGCAAAGGTTGAACTCACTCTAAAATTGGAGGGGAAAAAAGTAATAGAGTCTTCTCTATAATGTATTTTTTTCCCGTGATTTTTATTTTTTAACTTTTCTATCTGCTTCTCAGTACTCAGAAATGTCAGAACAAATGGATAAGTAGCAAAGAAGGTTGTTTTTTCCCCCAGCACATATATTGTTGCTTGTGATCTTACATTGCAAGGTTAGTTACATTCACTGCAGGTAGAATTTGTCCCCAAGTCTTAGTAGTGGAATTGAATAGATTAAATATGTTCCTCAAAGAGAACCACCACCTGAAAAGGGTTGCTGCTTACTGGGCTAAATGACCTCTAATTTAAAAAAAAAACTTTCAGTTTTGCTATTTTGTGATTTTTAGCTTGTTTATTCTGTTGTCACCCTCTTGCACAACCCCTCTCCCCATCAGGTGCCTAGGCATTAGAGAAAAAAAAGAAAAAAGGCTACTTTCTAGAGCAGTTTGAGTTTCGTAGCAAAATTGAACAGAAAGTACAGAGTTCTTATTTGCCCCCTGCCCCCACGCATGCACAGCCTCCCGCACTGTCAACATTCTTTTCTGGAGTGGTCCATTTATTACAATCCCTGAACACTGTTATCACCCAGAGGCCATAGTTTACCTTAGGGTTCGCTCTTGGTGCTGTATATTCTGTGGGTTTGGACACATGTGCAATGACATGACTACATGTCATTTGTATTGTGGATACCACCATTACGGTGTCACGCAGAATAGTATCACTGCCCTAAAAATCATCTGTGCTTTGCCTGTTCATACCTCCTTCCCCCTCTAACCTCTGGCAATTACAAAACCACAGATCTTTTTACTGTCTTCATAGTTTTGCCTTTTCCAGAATGTCATATAGTTGGAGTTATATGGCAGATAGCATTTTTCAGATCAGCTTTTTTCAGTTTGTAATACATAATTAAGGTTCCTCCATGCCTTTTCATGGCTTGATAGCTCGTTCGTTTTCAGCGCCGGGTAATACTTCATTGTCTGGATGTACCGCAGTTTATTTGTGCATTCACCTACCGAAGGACATCTTGGTTGCTTCTGAGTTCTGGCAATTATGAGTAAAGCTGCTGTACACATCTGTGTACAGGTTTTTGTGTGGTGTACAGGCATTTTTAATGGCTTCTTAATTCATCCTCACCCTGGCCAGTAGCCTGCTGATTTTTTGCCTCCTCACCACCACTTGAATCTACATCTTTCTGTGTCCACGATTACTATCCACGAAGTCAGAATCGTGGTTTAGGTGCAGCAGTAGTTGGAAGAGCTAGGGCTGGGAGTGAGGATTGCTGCTGGGTCTCCTGCAGAGTTCTACGGACTATAAAATTGTACTTCTAACAAAGTTAATTTTTTCTTGAGCACAAAGTTGTTATTTTTTGAAACAAAATGTTGATGAGCAGATGTCATCTCTCTGTGAACCACACGGAACACTGATGGGTCTTCTCATTTGGAATGGCTTTTGATGTGCATGGCCCAATGATAAAATTCCTCTCTGTGAGAGTGGATTTGAGTTTTCAGATTGGCCAAACGATTTTTGGAGTGAAATTTGGCAAACTCAATAAAAAAGTTTGAAAAAGATGGATATTATATGGGGTAAAAAAAGATCCAGAGCGATGTATATAGTTGCTACCTTTTGTGTAAAAATGGGGAAGAACAAGACTATGTATTTGTAGTTGCTTATATATAAAGAACCCTGAAAAGACGCAGAAGGACAGTGGTTTCCTGTGCTGAGGAGTCGGGGGAGACACTGGGCAGGTGGAATGGAGACAGGTGGGGATGGGGTGTTTTCACTGATTATATCCTTGTATATTTTCCATTTTTGAACCATGCGAGTATTGAAATACCTACTGGAAAAAAATTGAGGTACTTTTTTGTTTTTAGAGTTAGGTGTTTCTGTGAGACAATAAAATTGTTATATTGTTGGGATTTTAGGGCCAGGAAATAACATCTCAGCCTTATACCTCTGAATTTGGAATCAATTTTGAGACAGAGATAAGATATTAGCCTTAAGATTGATAAAGCTGAATGGGGCAATGTTAGCTCTTAATTGATTATTTCCTTTTAGTATATATCTATTCTGTATATCTCCAAGTACTTTTTTGCCTGAACTTCTACACTGAAATTAAAATTGCCATGTGTGTTTTCTTTTTGAGTAACAGCACCTTGCCTCTGTGTATCCTTTTGTTTTAAGATCAGGTGTGCTTTTCTGAAAAGCACATACTTTTATTTCATTTTAAAAATCCATCTACAATTCTTTGAATTTTCTTTGCCTTTCAGCAGGAATATTTAGAGCATTTACATTTAGAGTTATAGTTGTATCAGCTCTTGTGTTTTTCTTTGCCTTTTAATATATACCTGATTAACTTTTATTTTTTTATAACTTAAAAACTAAACCTGTTTTTTTATGTTTAGAGATTTTTTTTTATGCCACAAAAATTTTACATAAAACATTTCTGGATCATTAAGAGATAAATTGAGTAGTAGTGGCCTCATTTAGACACTTGTCTAGCCTCTCTGTGTTGATCATGACAGTATTTATTTGGTGATATAAATGCTAGTCGTTTACTGAAGTCAGTCTAATGGCTTTGTCGTCAAACTTCAAGCCATCTTTGGATTTTAAAAAGAGCCTGTTAACCTTTGAACCACAGTTGTACTCAAAAGAACATTCCCTGCCCTACCAGTTATTGAACTTACAGTTGGGAATTTTGGCCGTCTATGTGTAGGAACTGGAGTTGTGTGCAGAAGAGACCAGGTCCTTAAAGGCAATGAAGGAATCTCAGAGCTTCCAGCTGGAGCCAGCAGATCACTGGCCAGAGGGACAGTCCCAGAAGCAGTGGGTGAAGAATCCATATCTTGACCTTCCTGAACATCTAGACACCAAGATGGCACCACAGCCCTTGAAAGAGAGTGGTGAGTACCAGGAGCCAGGGAGGAGGGGTGACGGGTGGGGGTTAAGGAAGGGTGCACGAGGAGGAAGGATGTGCAGAATTCAAGGCAAGGGTTAGAGGAGTGTGTGAGGGACACCCTGAGAAGGAAGGCCAGTAAGCGTTGTAAGAGAAGGTGAAGCCCCGGTGGTGTTAGCACACCCGCCTGAGCTGAGTCATGTCGCAGGTTCAGGCTAGAACTGGGGCTCACAGGAGTTCAGGGCTGACATCTCACAACGACTGAGGAGCTAGATACTCTAGAAGGGAAGTGAAAGTGGAAGTCTGCACTGGCTACCGGGAAGGGCTCAGTTTGATCCAAGCAAGGCTTTCGGAAAGCTGGACCTCAGAGGGAGGTGGTTTGTGGGGAACCAGAGTTTGGGTTTCAGAGCTGTTTTCTCTTCCTCAGCTGTCCTCACTCCCCGAGTCCCTGCTCTCCCAAAGATGGGGAGTGTTGGAGATTGGGAGGTGACAGCTGAGTCCCAGGTGAGCTGCTCTTTGTTCTCCCTTTCCTGTCATTCCTTCTCCCGTGTTCTCATCCCTGCTCCTCTCCTCTCTCTGTGGCCCGCCCTCAGCAAAAGGGCGTCAGGTGCAGGGCGTTGGCCCCTGGCCCTCACCCCCAGAGCGCTGGGCCTCTCCTTGGTCATGCTCCTTGTGATGCTCGCCTCACACATGGTTTCACTGTGCCCATTATTCTCTCTCCTGGGGCCTGGGGGGACTCCCAGGCTGTTTTCAGGGGTCAGTGACATTTGAGGTCCTTCTGTCGTACATCTCACAGGAAGCCCTGGGCCCTGGCAGACACACGGAGAAGGAGTTCTGCAAGGACCCCGCCGGAGACAACTATGGGAACGGCGTGTCCCTGGGTAAGGAAACAGTGCCCTCTGATAAGAGATTGTCGGGTTTCTGGTACACTCCATTCCCAGGGAGTGTTTCGTCACTCCCTTGAGACTCGTGGCTCTGTGAAGTCTCTGGAATTTCAGACCTAGGAGGGAGCCGTGCTCTTTGTGGCCAACACTGTGGAGGCAGGGAGGGCGCGTGGGGAGTGGATAGAGGCTGGCAGGCTGGCAGCCCAGAGCCTGCCCTCTTGAGGCTCGTTCCTTTCATTTCCTCAGTACGTTCACCACCGTCCTGGGGCTGTGCCCAGCCTGCCGTCCCAGAATTCCAGTCTTCTCAGCATCAAATAGCGTCCATCTCTCGGGCAGATTCGAGTAAACTAAGCCCGTGAGTTTGATGTATTAAACCACAATGAGAAATAACTGTTACAGGGCTCAGAACACTTGACTCCCATGTGGCCAGCACGGACCCCTTTCCCTGTAGGTGCATCTCCACAGGAAGTCAAAGAATATGAACATTTCCCCGTGGAGCTGGGGTCAGTGAGAGGGGAGTTAGACGTGAGAGTGGGATAAGGTAAAAGAGACAGCAGCAGGTCTGACTCGTGGCAGTAAAGTAGGATACTAGGAGCTAGTTGGCTGCTTGCTGGGCAGCGTGCCCTTTTTACACATGATGAAAAGTATGCCCTTCTTACACGTGATATCTGGGGAAAATCGTGTTCAAAGGAACCACCTTCGGGAAGTGCTGAACTAGATAATCCTTACGCCTCTTTTAGCTCTAAACTCTTTTCATCTAGTTTCCTTCAAATATTTATTTTAATTAAAGGCTCCCTATTGGAAGGGTTAGGGCTGGGAGCTCCTGGGACATCTGTCCTTTAAACATAGCTAAGTATTTTAAGAACTAAGGAAATTTATTTTCTCATGTGATTGGCAGTCCAGAGGAGAGCATGCTTTAACCTCAGCACAGATGGGCTCAGTGACCTGGGTTCTTTCTTCTCTCTGCTCTGCCATCCTCGGTGTCAGCTCCATGGTAAAGCTATTTGCTGTCACAGTCAAATGGTAGATGCCAAAGGCATTAGAGGCCTGACATTTCTAGCAAGGGAGACACACCACCCATACAGATACACACACAAACGTTTCCTCCAATCATTAAATTTATTCTGATTGGGCCAGTTTAGGGCATGTACCCATCTGTGGACCAGTACCAGTTACTCTTTTGTATGATATATTTCATCACACAAATGTTCAAAAAAGCATATGAACAAAGCAAGCAGGTCAGTATGTTTCTGGTGAGGTTACATCTAGTTTCCTCTCCCTCTCCCTCCAGACCTTTTGAGGGATTAGCATGGGAATTCCTCATTAGTTTCTTGCAGGGAAATGATGTATTTCAAGGACATTTTAGACAAACACTTGGCACAACAGATCATTTCTACGTAATCATTTCTCTTCTTCCTTTTGTGTAGGAGTTCCAGTTTCAAAACCGAACATCCTGTCCCGGAGAGAGCAAGGACCAGAATTTTGGGGTCCAAGGCTTATAAATTCTGGAAAAAGGATCCCTGCAGATTATAGCTTGGATCCTGAGCAAACAAAGCCAGCTCAGGCAGTGGCCTGGAGGGACTCCAGGGCCTGGGAAGAATGCCACCGGTGGGACGTGGAGGACGTGAAGGTGTCAGGTGTACACTGGAGCTACGAGGAGACTAAGACTTTCCTGGCAATTTTAAGTGAGTCTCCTTTCTCTGAAAAACTCCGGACTTGTCACCAGAACCGCCAGGTGTACCGGGCCATTGCGGAGCGGCTGAGGGCACGGGGCTTCCTGCGGACCCTGGAGCAGTGTCGCTACAGAGTCAAAAACCTCCTCCGAAATTACCGGAAAGCCAAGAGCAGCCACCCACCTGGGACCTGCCCCTTCTATGAGGAGCTGGAGGCCCTGGTGAGGGCTCGGACAGCCATCAGAGCCTCAGACGGCCCAGGAGAGGCTGTGGCTCTCCCCAGGCTGGGGGATAGTGACGTGGAGGTGGATGAGCAGGAGGAAGGGAGCTGGGAGCCTGAGGAAGCAGCTGAAGACTGTAATGGTGATGACCTGGCCACTGAGGAGTCCATCCAGGGGCCGAGGATTCCAGGGGGCCCAGCTCTATTCCAGAGTCGTATTGGTAAGAACATGGGGGGCATTAATTGGATCCACGTTCTAACCCTCTTAACCAACCAAACCTCTGCTTCTTGAGTTCAGGGCGCAGATTGAAAGGCTGAATTGATGCTACGGGACTAAGGTCACCTTCAAACTCCTACTCTCTTCTCCTGTGATCACTTCACCCTGATGAGTTTTCTTAATTATAGAAGCAAACACTTTTGAAACCTTCAGGGACCTTAAAGAGCTAATTCAGTATTTCCCAGTGTGTCACTGGTAGTTTGGGGGTGATCACAAGTGTTACCTGAGTGAACTTTTAATTTTAATGTGTATGAGCCCATCAACCTGTGATGTCACAGCTAGTGAAGTTAGGTAAAGAAAGATACTGAGTGAAATATTTAATAGATACAGCAGAAATCATGACAGTAGGTAATTGAACAGCTGATGCTGAGGAAATACCCAGTCACTGTGAGAGTGAGAACATCGGAGCCCGGGCTGTGAAGGGTGGTATGTGAAGGTACACGGGGATCGGAGCCCAGGGCTCCTGCTTCCAGCTTTATGTGGTTTTCCCTCCACCATGCTGCCTCCCAGGCTGCATCATTTACCTGCAGGGGAACTGAAAACAGACCACCTCCTTTTCCTCCTTCTGCAAAGAGGAAAGGGTATCCTCAGTTGGACTCTATTACAAGATCATCTGAAGTCCGTCTGTGTCTTAGGGATTCTCAGTTCCCATGTTTGTTAAAAGGAAAATTCATCAGGGAAGTAGAGGACATGTATTGAATGGTTATAAAGAGAGTCTCTTGTATCTCAGTTACAGGCCTTTCCCTCAGCCAGTCAGCTGAAGCCCGGGGGTAGGTCACCTTGTATAATATGGCCACTTAAGTCCTCCCCTTCGGCCAAGTTTCTTAAGCGTTAATAGAACCTCTTAGAAGGGAGTGGGGGTTGGGGTGGGAAGCCTTGAGAAAGAAGGGCCTGTCCTTTGCTGGTGCCCCAGGCACCTAGACAGTTTCTGAAGTGTCTTTGTTCTAGGTGTTTAGCAGGGCAGGTGACCCTGATCCCTGGTGACCTAGGCAAGTCTCATCAAGTCTCTCAATTCTGAACTCTTCACTCCTGACAGCAGGTGTGCACTGGGGCTACGAGGAGACCAAGGCCTTCCTGACCATTCTCAGTGAGTCCCCATTCTCTGAGAAGCTGCGCACCTGTCACCAGAACAGCCAGGTGTACCGGGCCATTGCAGAGCGGCTGTGTGCACAGGGCTTCCTGCGGACACTGGAGCAGTGTCGCTACAGATTCAAAAACCTCCTTCGAAGCTACAGAAAAGCCAAGAGCAGCCACCCCCCAGGGACCTGCCCCTTCTATGAGGAGCTGGACTCGCTGATGAGGGCTCGGACTGCAGTTAGAGACACAGGGACTGGCAAAGAGGCCGTGGGTCTCCCTACTTCTGGGCAGAGCAGTACCGAGGCTGGCCACCAGGAGACCTGGGGTGAGATGGCAGATGAAGATGCCATCAGACCTCCAACCCCCAGTCCTAAAACCCCAGACACTGGTAAGCTTGAAGCAATTAGATGTCCACAAAATCTGCAGGCATGCAGACAGTATGGGAGCCAGGCTTATTATCTTTTCTCTGAACTAAAGGGGATAATAGAGTTGAATTAGAATCTATGCTTTGCTCAGATTATCCCATCTCTAGCTTAGTGCAATCCTCCAAGTGAGGCAAATAGTCAGGCTTAGATTTTACTTGGATTCATCTAGGCAATTAGAGAGTTTATTCAATCTCATATGACACAGGATGTACTGAACGTACCAGAAGAAGGCAGTATTCATTGTTGACTAATGTGATGGGGTAGTTAGTCGGCCAGGGAGACTGACTGGCTGAGTGCTTGGGCTGGGGCTCAGGGCTCCCAGGTGGGGTTAGCATGTCCCAGGCTTTGCTCCGCAGCTTTACAGGTGAGAAATGCACGTGTGCACCAAAACTCAATCAGTTTCATGTTAGTCACATTTATAAGATGTGTGATGTAAGATATACACACACATTCAAATTAGCTGAATTCCCGAGACACAAGATCCAGATATGTAAATAGACATTCACTAATGAAGGAACAAGAACTGCATTTCTGTCCACTTTTCCAGGTTTTGAGATGAGGCATGATGATGAAGACCAGATTTCAGAGCAGGACATTTTTGAAGACTTGTCTGGAGCCTTATCAAAATGTACTGCAGAGGATGATTGCTGCCCTCACGATTGGGAGGAAGACAGTGAAAATGAAAATGAAGGTAAAGGGCAGTGGGGAAATCCATCCCGGGCACAGTGGGAAGAATGTTGTTCTGAAGAGGACCTAGAAAAACTCATCGACCATCAAGGCCTGTACCTTGTAGAGAAACCCTACAGGTGTGACACGTGTGTGAAAAGCTTCAGTCGGAACTCGCAGTTAATCGCCCACCAGCGGATACACACAGGTGAGAAGCCCTACAAATGCCTTGAATGTGGGAAGAGCTTTAGTGACCGCTCCAACTTCAATACCCATCAGAGGATCCACACTGGAGAGAAGCCCTACAAATGCCCCGAATGTGGGAAGAGCTTTAGCGACCACTCCAACCTCATTACCCACCAGAGGACACACACACGGGTAAAGCCCTATAAATGTGGAGAATGTTGGGAAAGCTTCACCCAGAGCTCAAACCTTCTGAAACATCAGCGGGTCCACTTGGGAGGAAATCCTGACCACTGTAGTGAGCCTGGGGAAAACTCTGGCCAAAGCCCATCCTTTAGTGCTCCCTGGAGGAACTCGACAGAGGAGACATCTCCGGAACAACCTCAAAGTGCCAGTAAGAACTTGAATTCTCCTGGACCGCAAAGCACCAACTCAGGGGAGAAAGTTTATCAGTGTTCTGAATGTGGAAGAAGCTTCTCTAAGAGCTCTGCCCTCATCAGTCACCAAAGAATCCATACGGGAGAGAAACCCTACGAATGTGCCGAGTGTGGGAAAAGCTTCAGTAAGAGCTCCACTCTTGCCAACCACCAGCGAACCCATACCGGGGAGAAGCCGTACGAGTGCGCGGACTGTGGGAAATGCTTCGGGGAGCGCTCCAAGCTCATCACCCACCAGAGGGTGCACACGGGGGAGAAGCCCTACAAGTGCCCCGAGTGTGGGAAGTTCTTCCGTGACCGTTCCAACCTCATTACCCACCAGAGGATTCACACAGGAGAGAAGCCTTATAAGTGCAGGGAGTGTGGGAAATGCTTTAACCAGAGCTCCAGTCTTATTATTCACCAGAGAATCCACACTGGGGAGAAACCCTACAAGTGTACGGAGTGCGGCAAAGATTTCAACAACAGCTCCCACTTCAGCGCCCACAGGAGAACCCATGCAGGAGGAAAGGCCTCGTAGGAGATGCCTCCCCCCACAGCAAAAGAGAGAAACTCAGATTTAAATCTCCCAAGATCCGAAGACGTACGCTAGAAAGAAGCTGTCCCAATTTGTGAGCTTGATGTGTACCCGGGATGTTATCTTGGTGTAACCCAGGTAATTTGGAAGTGAATTACAAATGCTAAGGATCCAGATTTGAAGGCACTTTTCTTTAGTGTAATGTGTTTTTATCCTGCAAAAAAACCCACACAGAGTCCTCAGGCTGTCCTTATATTTTCTGTCATGTAAGAGCTTTATCAGTGTTTGAGCCAAACTGGTCACTTAGGGGATTACAGGTAAGTCAGTGGTCCTGAGCAGTGATTCCAGACCTCCTGTGCCTTCACACCGTCCACTTGTCCACATGCCCCATCGGTGTCCATCAGCAGATTCTCATCCGGCGCAGTTTTCAGTTGGGGCGTGACCTTCTGGGAGAACTTTGAGACCCCCGGTGAGAGGAGCATAACTGAGACTTAGTGGCCTAGAGCAGGCCGCCGTGAGCTCAGCAAAGGGGTGGGAACAACAGTGATGTCATTTCTAAATCGTTATTGATAATTGCCAGTTAGCCAGCATTTATGGAGCTCTTCCACAGGCTCTGTGTAAGCACTTTATACACATCATCTCATGTACTCCTCACAGCAGTCCCAGGAGGCACTCATATTTCCCCTGGTTCCTGGAAGAGGAAAGTGACTTGCTCAGGTCACATGTTTGAAAGTGGCAGAGGCGGGATTCAGCCAGATCTTTCTCTAGGGCCCGAGGTGCTCACCGCTATGCTGAGTCCCCTTCGACATTAGGGCAGGTAACTCAGGTGCCAAAGCGCTTTGTAGACCACGCTTCCTGTTAAAATTTCTGATGAATTCTCCTTTTATAAATATGGACACCGAGAATCCCAAAAGACTGAAGGACTTGGGATGTTCCAAGTTGGTGATGTGCTTTGAGCAAGGCTGAGCTGTTACCAAAACACGGGATGTGAATTTCCATCTTCACAATAATATGGATGAGAGGCAGAGGTGGGCGGAGATTGGGAAAAATATGTAGCCAAAGTGATGTTTCTTCTAATGAGTTACTGCTTTGGCTGAGGAAGTGGGGTTTTTGAGTATTCCCCTTTTGTCTAGGGGTCAGTCCTGCTTCTTGTTAAACTTGGCTGGATCATGGGTTAAACCTTAAGAAACCTGGGTTTCCTCGCCAGTGCTCACGCATCCATGTGTAAATGTCTGTGTCCTGGTCCTTTCCCTCTTCTTTGTTCCTGGTCCCCACCCCAGGACAGGCAGAAGGGAGGTGGGGGAGTCGGTGTGTGTGGCGTGCCACGGAGGGGGCTCTGAACACTGTTCTGCGTTCCGGGTTCGCGGTGCGGCTTTACCCTGAGCCGTCTTGTCCCAGGCCCACCCAGTGCTTTCTAGTTGGCTGTAAAGACCTGCGTCCAACACGGACAGGTTCAGTCAGAACGATTCACACAGGATGCTTTTAGAAGTTTGCAGCAATTTGGCCTCCAGAATTTCTCCCTAGTAAAGTTTAAAAATGTTGACCAACAACTCTGGTTTCCATTTTTAAAGGAAAATCCCTCTCCTGACGCCCGCCATGATGCTGGGATGCCATTCATAGCCTGGCTGTCTCATGAACTCAGGAGGCACCTAGTAGGCAGTAGATGTGGTGGCACCTTAGAGAATGGAACTTCCTGGTCGCATGTGAGGAAGTGAGTGGAGATTTGCACTCCCACAGAAGGTGATCACTCCTTAGCCCCTCCCTCTGCTTCCCAGGAACCAGCTCCCTTGGGATCACTGCCTGTCACCTGCTCACCTTTCCTGGCTCACATTGTCTCTGAGGAGCAGGGGTGGTGGGTGAGCCCTGGGTTCGAACCAGCAGATGTCAGTAACTGCAACAATAAGATGATGGGGAGGTACCATGTGAGCCAAGAGGAAGGAACCTGAGGGAGGGGACGGTAGGTCCAGGGAAAGGCACAGTGGTGTGGAAGAGCATGGATTCAGGGTCAAGGCGGGGCTGTAGCCTCCTAGTACTATTTGGGTGTCAAGTGGGCGGTCGGGAGTAGTAGGAGCTGAGGTTGGAGGGGTGCTGGGGCAGGGTCACCGAGGACCTCGTGGCTGAGGAGGGTGTGGTCACATGTGCATTGTTGAAATCTAATTGCTGAAGGCAACGTGGATGTACTGCACTTAGGACGACCTGTTGGGGCACTGCTGCAGTATTCCAGCTAAGAGCGCGGGTCTGGACTAGCGCCGTGGTTACGCTGAAGAGGAGGGGAGGATTCGAGGGGCTTCACTGGCAGCACTGAGGACAGCAGGCGCAAGCTGGAGGCCCTGGGTGGCTGCTGGAGCCTGCCGTCGTTCAGGACTGGGGCCATGAGGAGGAGGTGCAAGGAAGGCAGGAGGGCAGGAGAGAAGTTTAACTGGGGACATTTTGAACTTGAGGTGCCTTAGGGATATCCAAGAGGAGACATGCAGCAGGCATTTGGCTATCTGGGCCTGAAGCTGAGGGAGGTTAGGACTGGAGAGTTGTCTGCATGCATGGCTATTAAATTCATGAGGAGGGCAGGATGTTCAAGTTCAAGTCATCGAAATATTGGGCCCGGGACAGAACTTGAGAAGCAGCACGTGTAGAGGAAGATGCCCCTCGCAGGAGATGTAGACCACTCCCCAGTCGCACGCCCCTGCACGCTCCAGTCAGCTTTTGGACACTGCCTCAGTGGCTGCTGACATCTGAATTCTGAATGTAGTCCTGGATTTTCTGGAACCTTCCCTGTGGAAGCCAAGCTGAGCTGTGTGTAGAAGCGAGATTGTAGCCCTCTCCCCAGCTCAAGTGTCACCCGTTCCCCGCCTCTTGGAAGTGTACTAGTGTCTCATGTTCTCAGCTGAACAGTTTTGAGGTTTATTCCTCCCATCTCATAACTAGTGACTGTAGGTTCAGCCGTAAGATGGAGGGCAGTGTGGGCCTGGGGAGAAAACAGCCCAGCAGGACCTTCTCTCCTTGTGGACCTGACGCTTCCTTCGATGGCTTCCATGCCTGGGGCCCGGCCCATCACTGTGCTGGGGCACCCAGACAGCCTCCCGCAGATCTCTGCTGCTCGAGTACACTGACATCTGGCTTTACACGTCCTGAGCTTTGTTACGGTGAGTCTGCCCTTGGGAAGTAGGTCCACTCTGCAGGACGGGCAGTTTCTCAGCCTGCATGGCCACGGGTCAGACCCTGGTCACGGGAGACGGAAGCAGTGAATGCTGCCCGGAGAAGGTGTTATGTGTGAGCTGCATCCCCTCCCTTGATTTCTGTACCCTCCACCCGGGGAGGGCGTTGACTCCTCAGAGGTGACTGAAAGGCACCACAAACACTCATTCCATGGACTCATCAGCAGGCAGCAGACCAAAGCTAGGGGCAGGGAAAGGTGGGCCAGGCCACTTGACATACCCAGTTTTTTTCTTCGGCCTTGGCCCCAGCAGCTGAAGGCATGGTCACGGCTGCCTCAGCCTTAGTGTCCCCACAGCCCCCATCTGCAGGAGCCTAAGGTAACCAGGGCCCTGCCTGTGCTGGAAATTGTAGCCTCTGGGACCATGGATCCCTGGGTTCGCCTCATCCTGGTCTAGGACCCCTGGTCGGGATAGCCCTCCACCTTCAGGCTGCAGAAAAGGGTGCATCTATAGTCACTTTGTGGAGACGAATAACACCGTTTGGGGGCAGGGACGCAGAGGTTTTGAAGTAGCGAGTGTGGTGATGTCTGGAGTGGGTGTGGGTGGCAGGTGGTCTCGCGTCTCCCAGGACTCCCTGGGTCTCTACCCCAGATTGGGTCCCAGGCCTGCTTCTCTGTTCGCTTCGTTCACTCTGTTCTGTTTGCATTTTTTTCTGCTGTGTATGTGCTGATAACTCCCAGGCTGCCTGCTGGCCAGTCCTACTTGGGTCACTCTGGACCCCTCCAGCCCCACACCCACCTGCTGCCGTCTCCGGCCCCCTGGCCCACCTGCTCAGCCCGTGCATTTACGTGCACACTCGGTGGCCCACAGAAGCCTCCACACATCTCCAGTGAGGCGTACATGCTTGGACTTGGAACAGACGCAGTCCTCCAGACGTGTTCCCCCTTCTAAGGGCATTTTCCAGCTAGGCTGTGATTGCCCAGTGGCCTGGGAAGTCCTTTCCTGAACAGACTCAGTCGGAATTCACCCAGTGAAACATCCCATTACCTCAATTGAAACCACCCTCGCTTTGGACGTCCCTCAGCCCCCACCTCTTAGCAGCAAACACCCTCTTAGGCCCCTGCCCCAGTCTGTTGCTGGAGGTTAGTGCTACCGATAGTGGGAGGTCTGGAAGGCAGGAGAGGTGGGGCTCAGGCCGGGCCTTGGGGTCTGGGTGACAGACGTTTTATGCTTCTTTCCTTGGCCCTTGGCTGGTTCTCTCTGCGCACCCCCAACACCAGTATTACCCCGAGTGTGCCTTTAACACCACTCCCCTCACTCTGCGTTGAGGCAAATCTGGAATCACCTCCAAATGCAATTTTCGGAGGGTCAGGTTTCTCACCCCACTGTCCCTTCCGCTAGCCCACACTGCGGCAGAACAATGACCTCTGCTCGTCCCCGGCAGGTGCCTCGCTCACCTGGTCCCGTCAGGAGCCCCAGTGACCCGATCCTGTGCTACTGGGAGGGAGAGGCAGAGCTCCTCTTCTCTCTGTATGCGGTCAGCCCTCCCATGTCTCAAGGCTCAGAGCCCCTTTGCTCTAAGAGCCACGTGGTTAAGTCCAGGCCAGAACCCAATTAAGCATTTGGCCTACACTCACTAGAATAGGGATCCACGTAGACAGCGAATTTCTAATCAGGGTGTGGCTAGTGGTTCTCCTGGCATGTGAGGATGATTCTGATCCTGTCTGCCATTCCATCATACTTCTTTCCAAAGTCACATTTATTTTTCACATTTTCATCATCATTTCATTATTTCAGTCCATAACCTTGCCATCAAGAGGGTGAGGGTCCTGGGAAGGAAGACAAAGAAAATGAGTCTACCTCATGGGCTGGTTCTGGACCAGCATTACGGGTCCATCCGAGCGCCAGCAGGAGAGGAGCCACAGGCGGGGGCTGATAGAGCTGTGGGCACTGAAGTCGCTGGGGCTGAGGGAGCCCCACTTTGGTACCAGGTGACAAACGTGACACAGAGAGGAAAGGGCTCTTCTCCCTTCTTCCACACAGGGCACGGCTTGGCTTTCATGCTTTGGGGAATTCGTGGACCACAGAGGAGCTCCTGCGCATTTAGAGGCAGTGGAGACCAGCAGGTGGGGTGTCAAGGGGTTGCCTTGGGGGCCGTGGTGGCAGGCAGACTTCATTCACCCCGGGGGCCAGGCTGGGAGAACCTTCTACAACCAGCGCCTGGTGAGGGCTTGGTCATGATCACATACAAAGTCCCCGACCGACCCAACCCCACTCCTGAAGTTTCCCAGAAATAGATGGAGGTGGGGAGGCTACCTGGGCTCAAGGTCACGTTAAACCCACCTGGCACGTCCTGGGAAGGGGGAGGGAAAACAGGTGTTATCTCAGGGAACTTTCTTGAGCAACTGATTTTCATGGAAAACAGGCATTTGTGATTGATTTTTGTCTTAGTGACTGTGGAATTAAAATGGATTAAATTTTGGCCCCTAGGAGGCTCAGAGATTTAAGGTCCAAATCTAGAAACAGAACTGGCTCTTTTGATTTGCAATTTGTGCATCCACCCCACCTTCATTTTATTTGACTATGTTTTCACTTCTCCATCCTTTATTATTTCTTCTTCCTATGAGATTTTGTATCTCTTAACACTAGTCAGATCCTATTTTGGAATGAAGTGGCTTGATAAATTAATAAATTATACAAATTGAACGGCAAAAAAAGGAACTTGTTTTGGGTTCTTCTGGCATCTTCCTGGTTACACCAAAAGCACGGAGGAAAGGAGGAGGGGAAAAGTGAGGGGGACACAGTGAGGCTGTCGGGGAGGCTTGGGGCTCAAGATCTCATGCCCCTTGTGTTGGACTGGCATCTTCCTTTCATGTTCTCTATGGCTCTTCAGACATGAGTGGATATTGCAACCCAGAGTCATTGCCTTTTGTCTATAACAGGTGGTTCCTCAGTCTGCTGGCCTTCCTCACACATCTTTGCTTTGATGTGTCCCCCAGGATCTCTGTGCTAGGGAATCTGAGGTATCTGGGACCTAAATAACATAAGGATGAAAGGATGAAAAGAAAAGGTGTTCCCAGGGGGCTGAATCCTACCTGACTCTTCCGATCTGCTTCCCAGTCCGGGAGGAGAGCTGATACACTTTGTGCTGGAGAAGGAGGTGAGTGCTGGAGGGTTTTTATGGGAATTCTTTCCCCTCCTTCCTCCACCCACTCCCCTTCTGGTAACATTCAGAAGACACTGTAGCTCAAGGTTGAGGTCTCCTTTAGAAACTTTTGCTCTTTCATCCTTGTTGAATGGGTTATAGGCAACTTTGCCTTTTAGACTCTGATATCCTTGAATTCTGATTATGAGTTAGAGAAAGAGTGATATTTCAGAGTTTGATGTGACTTTGATCAGAAGCTACAGGAAACTGTTTCTTCCTGTAGGAGTCAGAATCTTAAGTAGAAGTTTAGTCACGGTTGGACTGAGTGTACTGATGCTCTGTTCATCTTGGGACAAAGATGAGATCTGGGAGAAAATGAGTCATGGTCTCCCTGAAGGAGAAGTTCCAGCTCTCGCTTACATGTTTTCATGTAACTCCTATCTAGCAGTTGCTCCAACAGTGAGCAGATCCACAGGGCTTGCTTTCCTGGGACAGAGGCCACAGACAACTCATTGTCATTCTCTTGCTGTTAGCAGGGCCCAGAGGTCAGTTTCGAGCATAGGGTCCACCAAGCCTGACCAGCTGGAACAGGAACCCTTTAATCAGTTTCGACAAAGAGGCAGCCAGTGCCAGCGTTACCGAGAATGTAACACTAGGAGAGAATCCTCACCTGCAGGAGATGCCTATGCACTGGGCCGGCTCTCTGCTGGCCCCACGTCCACAGGCTGCTGGGTGCTCCTGTTGCCAGAAGTTCTGGGCTGAACCAGGAATCCAAACAGCAGGGCACCTGGTCCCCAGCTAGGCAGTGGGAGTCACCAGGTAAGAGCCTGACATCCTTGGGGAAGAGGAGGTGTGTAGGATCCAGTAGTTTCAGGGCTCAGGCAGCTTGAGGAAGGGGCCAGGTCAGGGTCAAAGGAAGGACTGAGAGCCGAGAGGGGAGCGAGTCGGAAGGAAAGGGAGCATATGGGGAGGGCAGAGAGGCAGAAAGGGGAGAGGAGCAAAGGGGCAGGCTGAGGAGGAGGCAACCAAGTTTGGGAGAGAGGAAGGGCAAGAGGAAAAACTCGGGGTTGGCTGTCCTGTGTGTCCCTGAGTGAGGTAGGGGGTGGGGCAGGTGGAACAGAAGAGGGGAGAGAAGGCATTGGAGCAGGAAGAGGGGGAGGGAAGTGGGGAAACAGAGGCGGCTCCTTTATGGTTCCCAAGTTAGAAATGGAGGGCTGGGCCGCTTGGGCCAGTACTCTGCACCCTCCCCCTCTTCCATTCTCCCATGATCCAGACTCCATAGTAACCAAGACCAGGAACCCTGGGCTGCACTGTCCTGTATGGTGGCCACCCAGCTACAAGTGCCATTGAGCCCTCTAAAGGTGACTAAGTCTGAGCTGAGATGTGTTGAGATGTGTAATATATACACCAGATTTTGAGCAATTCTATGAATAAAAGTGTAAACTATCTCAATACTTTTATTTTGGTTACATCTTGAAATGATAATTTTTAGGATATATTGGGTTAAATAAAGTATATTAGTAAAATTAATTTCACCATTTCTTTTTGCTTTCATAACGTGGCTCCATCCAGTCAGTACGCATGCAGCTTGCATTCGTGGCTTGCATTGTATTTCTGTCAGACAGCACGGCCCTAGGGCATTTGAACTAGAAAAGCCGTCCCTGGAAGTCTCATTTTATAGATGAGGGAATTCAGTCCCAGAGGCTTGTTTGTGGTCACCAGAAACACACAGCAGCTCTTGGACGAGGATCCAGGTCTGTTGATCCCCGCTGGTGCAGGGCCTTCTCCTTGGCTCAAGCTAGTCAGACATGGCCAGGCCTGTGCCCAGGCATGAGGTTGCCCCCTGCGTGTTGCATGAGAAACATGAAAGGCAGACCCGTTGCCCCCACATCTACCTCTTTTGCAAGCCTGGAACCTTAAGTGGCCCCATTATTGCTCTTGTTGGGAAGGCCACTGAATGATGGGCCGTGTGCTCCAGATAAAAACAGCAATAAACCTGACCTCCCCAGCGGGCAGAAACTGAGCATAGCTGAGTCTGGGGGCTGGGGACTGGGAAGAAGCTTCTGAAGATGAAATAAACTGAAGGAGAGAAGTTAAAAGTCACAATTTCAGCCTGTATGTCACATCTCAGTTTTCAAAATCTTTTCAGAGTTTATCCCATTGAAACCTACTCATGGGAAGATTTCGAGGGAAAATGTTACACCCTTTTTCCAGGTAAGGAAACTGAAACTCAGCACAGGACCTTGTCCAGAAGTCCCCAGTCCAAAGAGCAAACACCCAGCACAGCAGATGCCTTTCAGTCAGGCTCCCCGCTGTTGCTTCAGTACTCCTTCCACTTGGTAGCCAAGAGCCAGATGGCTAGGGTACCAGGCAGTAAAAGGAAGGCTGCTGGCCACTAGTGTGTGCTGTGCCCACTGTCTTGGCCCCAGGAAGGAAAAAGAAAGAATCGTGGGTACTTCCATTCAGGACTTTCCAATGTTCATTTACTCTTTCTTTTTTAAATTGAAGTATAGTCAGTTTACAATGTTGTGTCAATTTCTGGTGTGCAGCGCAATGCTTCAGTCATACATGAACATATATTCCTTTTCATACTCTTTTTCATTATAGGTTACAAGATATTGAATATACTTCCCTGTACTATACAGTTTAAATTTGTTGTTCTATTTTATATATACTAGTTAGTATATGCAAGTCCGGAACTCCTAATTTATCCCTTCATACCCCCTTTCCCCCTCTAGTAACCATAAGTTTGTTTTCTATGTCTGTGGGTCTCTTTCTGTTTTGTAAAATGCGTTTGTTTGTGTCTTTTTTTAAGATTCCATATATAAATGATATCATATGGTATTTTTCCTTCTCTTTCTGGCTTCACTTAGAATGATGATCTCAGGTCCATCCATGATGCTGCAAATGGCATTATTTTATTTTTTATGGATTAGTAGTATTCCGTTGTGTGTGTTGTGTGTGTGTGTGTGTGTGTATGCATGCTACAACTTCTTTATCCAGTCACCTGTCAATGGACATTTAGGTTGTTTCCATGTTTTGGCTATTGTAAATAGTGCCTCTGTGAACACGGGTATGTGTACCCCAATTGTGGAACATTTCAAATTAGAGTTTCCTCCAGTTATATGCCTAGGAGTGGGATTTCTGGATCATATGGTAAGTCTATTTTTAGTTTTTTAAGGAATCTCCATACTGTTTTCCATAATGGCTGCACCAAACTACATTCCCACCAACAGTGTAGGAGGGTTCCCTTTTCTCCACACCCTCTCCAGCACTTACAGTTTGTGGACTTTGTTGATTTACTCTTGGTCTCTGCAGGATTTTAGGGTGTGGAAGATGGATTCCATTGCCTGCCCCAGACACACAGGCAGGGACTCCTATCCTGTCTGACCTGTAAACTGAGTCAGGGCCAAAGTCCACCGAGTGCTGCCCACCCCAGAGAGCCAAATGGCCCAACTCAGTTCTCTTGTTCCTCACCCTCTGGTACGTGTGCTTCTGCAGGGGGCTACTGCTCCACATCCTCTCCTGGACCTCCTCTTGCTGTCCAGAGAATAAGAAATAACTATAGCTGAATTCTCTGAGACTGAAGTGCCCAGTGTCAGGACTGCCTCCACCAGCCCCTCCTCACATCACTGATTTTATTGATCAACCTCTTATAACGCCCTGGGTGGCTGCTGCTTCTTTGAGCCAACCTCTTCAGACTCTTGCCCTTCCCCGAAACCCATCCATCCAGGCCTTTAGAAATCTTGCTCTACATTGACCAATCCCTAGAGCCTCCATCTCTTCACCTGACCTTTGCTGCACCACCAAATTTACAGAAGCCTGCCTTTCTCGTAATTTTTGTTTAGGCAACTCGTTCCTCCCATGAAGCCCACATGCCCCAGGGCTTCCCCTACTCCCACTTCCAGACTCCAGCCTGCTCCCTCCAAAGGTAATCCCATCTTCCTTGTCCTGTTCTCCATCTCGGAGCATAAATCAGCGAATCAGCCATGACATTCCTGTGATGACAGGAGATGAATAGATGATCAGAAACGGATGGCCCAATTTGTGCCAACGAGATGAAATAGCAGGTTGGCGGGGTGGGACTAGAAAATTAGTTTCAGAACTTTACTACCTTGGGACCAGGCTGCCTGGAGCCACAGCCACACACACAGTATAGCTGAAGGAATCCAGGAGAAACGGAGCTGGAGATACTGACTAAGCCAATGCCCACTTGGCTGCCAGACTTTGTGATGTGAGCCAATACATTTTTCTTGTTAAGTTAGTTTGAGCTAGGTTTCCTCTTCCTTTGGTCTCTAGTACATTCTTTCCTCAACCTATCACCTCCTTCTTGTCTTCATATCCCTTTCTACCCAACCTAAGTGCCACAGTTCAGAATTTCAACCTTTCTTACCCATATCCTTGCTTTTCTTCCTGCCGACTTCTGTTAACATCTGCCTGGCATAATCTCAGTCATTTAAGAATACAATAATGCAGCCTCTATTACCTTGTCCATGCTATTGATTTTTGCTGGAAGTGAAAAAAAAACATTATCAGAAAGATTAGTACCATAATAAATTCATGGTCAGTTAGGTCCTAAACAATGTCCAACAATCATGCTATGAGGTTGTTCATGGCAGCTATATGATGATACAACATTCTATAATTGAAACATCCAATAAAGGGGAATTTAATACAAATTATAGTGCCAGCAGGCAACAGAAAACCAAGCAGCTAGTTAAAATGTGAAAAAAAATACATAAACACAATGCATATTAAAATGCCCACAATAAATTGCTAGGTGACAAGAGTAATATCCCAAAGATGTGGGAACAGAAGCACTTTGAAAGTTACCATGGTAGTATCAGGGTGCTAGAATTACAGATTTTTATGGTGTTCTTTTGTAATTTTTATATAATGCTCAACATTAATATATCATAAAATGTAAAACTACATTTCTTTGAAATTAAAGCCAGGACCAAAGATGATCAAGAGTCCTTGCCAGGCTTCTAACATCCACCACACCCTTCTTTTTGTTCTTAGACTGCTTTCCACCAGAGATGTATAGACAGGGTATTGTGTTACAAATAATATGAAATAATTATTTACCAATATTCTTTGTTGTTAGGCTCATTTACTTCATTTTGTTTTTAATTTAGGGGTATTTATTTTTTCATACTATGGATTTGGAGGGGGATTTCCTTCTTTTGCTGTTCTTGGGAATAATACATACATACATGTATTTTAAAGATAAAATACATCCTGAGATTGTAGTGATATTTCCGATTCAAATTCAGGACTAAAGGGTTTGACTTAACCTCATCTATGTTAAACATGAATCTCCTTTCTTCTCTGAGAAAAATCCTGGGTCCCAACACTAACAAAATTATTCATGTGCTTTCCCTCATAATACACAAAACGATACACTATCATCATCAATATGATTTCTGAAAACAGTTGTTTGCAGTTTTTTTTGCCTTTAGTTCTACCCTGCTGGGGATACACAGTTAATTTACTGTATTTATAAAACCATTTGACATAGTTCCTTTCCTACGAGCGTTCCAACTTCATGAGAAGGTGTGTTTATTTCATTTTGCTTTCAATTTGTAAATCTAGTCCTCTGCTTTCCTACACAAAGAGTACCAAAATGTACTCTTGGTATAGAAAGAGTGTAACAGTTTATACACAGGTCACCTCCTGAGATTTGATACACTGAGGTTGTTTCTGGTCTTTTGTTTTTATAAATAATACTGCTGTGAGTAACCTTGTGTATATGTTAGTTCATATTTGAGGAGGTATATCTTCAGAAAAATTCCTACAGGTGGGATTGCTGGGTCAAAGCATAAATCATTATGATATTTCGTTATGCATTGTCAGATTCTGCTTCATAAGAATCGGACCAGCAGCATCTGAGGGTGTTTCCCCTACATCTTTGTCAGCAGAGTGTGCTGTCTAGCTTTTGGATTTTTGCCAATCTAATAGGTGAGAAATGGTATCTCTGAGGAGTGAAACTGAGCTTTCATATATTTAAGAGTTTTTGCTTATCTTTCTTTTCATTGTTTTTGTCTACTTGTTTATGATGCTTTTAGTCTTTTTTCTTAGTTATGAGGAATATTTTTATGAATGGGTCATGCCTCTTTCAAAAAAATATTCTCTAATATTGAGTTGCAGAGTTTGACACATATTTGTTACCAACGCTTGGACTCCTTAATCAATAGAAATTGATAAAAGGCCAGACTAGAATTCAGGCAGGGATTTACTGGGACTTGTGCTGCAGCACCAGGGAGTGAAAACAGGTATCAGGCTCCCTTTCGCCCTCTCTGATGTGGGTGAACTGGTTGCTTAAATGGGGTAAGGGTTGGGGAGGGATCTGGGGGTAGGGTAAGAGGGGTTGCTTGGGTGGTCTGCCCACCCCCTTGGCGGTGCTGTGTGCAGGGATCATGCACAGTACCCAGCTTCTGCTCCTGGTTACTCAGAAGTGGCAGTTGGCTTGTGGCCTTTTTGTCTCTTATTGTTCATAATTGCCCCAGTTGCACATGTGTGCAGTTATTTTTAGGTCCTGATAGTTTCTTTGTATTCTGTCAATCGTTTGTCCAGGTGCAAGCACTCTGGTAAGGGTCCCAGCTCCTGGCCTATCTCACAAAAACTTCCTTATGATTGTTTTGTTTCGGTCTTCTACAACCATGCATTTTTGTTGTTGTTGTTGTTACCTTGATCTATTGTGTTCTGAGAGAGATGAGTTAAAGCTCCTATGACTGGTGTGTTTCTGCCTATTTCTCTTTGCATCTCCTACTTTCTGCTTTGTGAACATGGGTGATGCTTATTTGGTGGGTAGTTAGTATCTGTTATATATTCGTTGTGAATTGTGTCCTTCAGTGTTATAAAGTGTCCTCCTTTGTCTTCTTTAATGCCTTTGAGCCTGAATTCAGACTTGTCTGATACCAAGATGGTGATCGCTGGTTCCTTGTTTGCACATGCTGGCTCTTCCTTTGCCCATTCGTAAACCTAATTACATTTAGTGATGTAAGTGGTATGTTTTCAGATTTGTCATACTGTAACGGAGCAGGACCCTACTGTCATCAGTGACCACCTGATACCTGTAATGGTGTTTGCAATTGCGTAACTATATGATGGTTTATAGGGCTTTCCTCATGCTCTTGCTGACCAGGGTTGGGCTGGAGAGGAAGGAGGCTTGGGTGGTCCACCCAACCCCCTCATGGTGCTGCTGTGTGCAGGGATCATGCTCAGTGCCCGGCTTTTGCCCCAGTGACCTCTTCTTGACCCCTGTGCCCTCCTCTTAACCCGTTGTGGTTTCCTTGTATCCTGTTGTTTGAGCTACAGGCCTCAATCTGCAGCAGGAGGTCCCAGGCCTCAGCCTGCTTAAAAGGCTAAAAACGTTTGTCAACCTGACTTTAGCACAGCTTTTTCTCTAGAGCTCTCTTCCATAGACCCCCTTCCTATGCATCCTTTCTTCCT